ATATATATATATATATATATATATAATTACAAAAAACCCCAAACCAATCGGAATTCTCTTAGCCAAATCCTATGACCTTAGTCATTTCATTGAAACTAATAAAACGGCAATAATGACGGAATTTTCGTAATATCAGACTACTAAAAGGTCAAATATTTGCTAAGTTCCCAGCCGCCTTATTATACTCTGCCAACGGACCCTTCCCACCCTTCCCGTCCCGTCAACCTTGAAGTCGTCTCTCCTCCTCCTCTTCGAGCTCCCTCTGTTCTCCGAGCGAGGAGAGGAGATCGGGAAGAGAAAGCTAACCCTAACCCTAACCCTAGCCCCGTCCCTCACCCTTCGATTCCTCCACCTCCCCGAGCCCTCGTAAACCACCTCTCCAGGCTCCGGCAACTCTCCCGATTCCTTCATCCCTTTGTTGTATTCAATCTCGCGTCAACGGTGATGGAATCGCTTTAAGTTCCAGGCACTCGTCGTCGTCCTCCGCTCTCTCAGTGCATCCAATCTTCCTTCTGCTCTTCAAATTCGTACTTATGGCGATCCGCGTCACCATTTCTTGCTCGGGCTATCTAGCCCAGAGCTTAACCTATTCCGCCGGCCTCCGTTGCGGTAACTTTAGCCGCATCCACGAGTTCGCCGGCCGATCCCTCGCCCTATTTTCCACCCAGCGAGCTGATGCCGATGCGTACGACCCCGGTGGCCAGTCGTCGACTGGAAACTTTTCCAAGACACTGGGTTCTTGTTTTACTTCTTCTGTTTCTTGGTTCTCTCCCGTCGCGAAGGCTCAGATCTCCGGTCTTAAAGAGTCCTTTAAACCTCCGGCGGCAGCGGCCGTCTCCGACGAGTTCTCGGCCTTTTTCAGCAGTGTTCCTGGGAAGGCTTCAGCTCCGCTTGCCAAGGAATTGTTGAATCCTCTAGTGACTGCCGCTTCTAAGCTTTCAGTCTTTGCTGGTGATTTTCACCCCGAAGAGGGCTTTCGTAAATTTCCCCCTTTCGGGGGATCGGCTTCTGGTTTAGGGGATTTTTGTGTTTCGTCTTCGATGAGTTTTGCGTTCAAATCATCCTCGTTGCTTCCCTTCTTGCAAGTGTGTAAGTGGCTCCCTTGCAGCGAGTACTTCCCTCGCTCAACCAGAAGTGCCCCGCCTGACAAAGGAGGAACTGCAGCTGTTGAGCTTAGTGCACTAGCTCATGAGTGTTTTGATTCCATGGCAGGAGGTGCAGGAAAGAGTGGGGATATAAATCCTGAAACAAAGACCCCGGTTGTTCCTGGTTATGTGAAGAATCTTTCTTGTGGTTCCATGGGGAATGCGAAGAATGTGGTTGGCATTCCTAAAACGAAGGATTTGGCTGAGGGTGATGCAATGAAGCTTCCTTGTGAGAAAGATCGCTGGTTGTCACGGTGGATGAGCTCCTGCTCTGATGACGCGAAGGCTGTCTTTGCTGCTGTGACCGTTCCTTTGCTATATGGCTCTCGTCTGGCTGAACCAAGATCAATTCCTTCAATGTCTATGTATCCAACCTTTGAAGTTGGAGACCGGATATTGGCTGAAAAGGTGAGCAATGAGAAGATTTGATCGTTTTAAATTTTATCAGTGAGGTCCTGTTTGGATTTTGTTATTCTTAGCAGAGAAAATTGTGAGTTATCCTAAATTTGATTTGATCCATTAATTATATAATTCATTCATAACTGAGAAATTAGTCTTTAACTTTTATATCTTTTTATAGAGACTTTCTTTTTGGATTGCAGGTTTCTTATATTTTCAAGGAACCAGAAATCACTGATATAGTTATCTTCAGGACTCCACCAGCTCTTTTGGTAAAATTGATGTCTTTTTATGTATTTTTCTATATTAGTTTTTTACCAATCTATTTATATCTTTACTAACTTATTATTGAAACTTCAAATATTTGTTCTTGTGTAGGAACGTGGTTACAGTCCTCGTGATGTCTTCGTCAAAAGAGTTGTTGCCAAGGGTGGTGATGTTGTTGAGGTAGACTTATTGATAATTCCAGTGGCTTTGATATCCCTTTACTGCATTGAAAAATTGCAGTTCATTCTTTTAAATTTAGGTGGCAAGAAAATGTTAATACTTCTATGGCTTCACAGGTTCTTGATGGGAAGTTGTTGGTGAATGGTGTTATTCAGGAGGAAGATTTCATCTTAGAGCCACTGGAATATGAAATGAGTCCTGTGGTATGGATACTTTAACTTGTCTCTCTTTTGTATTAGTTATTTTTTGTTCTTTTTGATCCTTTCTACTGAAGAATCTTGTATTAATTTGGATTAGATAACATTTTTTTTATGTCTAGCATAGGTAGGGAAATACCTAAAATGCTTATATTGATTTACACCCCATTTAACTTCCATAAATGATACATTTTTATAATATAACTTCTAATAGAAATTTTAGTTCGAAATGAATCTTTTAGGAGCTGTTTGGTAGCACCCAGGATTTGATTTAAGTAGGATTTCCTAAATCCTCTAAATCCGGATTTCAGAAATCCTGAGGGGTCTAAATCCTGAAAACTGTTTGGTAACATTCTTGATAAATCCTATTAAATATTGTGTGACTGTTTGGCTATAGAGTGGATTTAATGAGCGGACCCTTCCTCTCGAGCCAATGGATTTCGTAAATCCAGAAAAAAACTGGATTTCGGAAATCCGGAATTTAGCACGAAAAGATGGAATTTTCCATCTACAGCGGCTTTCATTTGCCATGAGATTTTGCATTTTAGTCCATTGGGCTGTGATTTCACTGAAATCTGGCCTAAATCCCGCTACCAAACAGCCCCTTAAACTTAAAGAAAAAGGCTGTTCTTTTGAACTATTTCTATACATAATTTCTTTTACTTACTCAAAACTCTTTATTTTTTGCCTCACTGATTAGATATATCCTTATAATTTTTGGCTGGCTTTGATTTTGCAGCTAGTGCCGGAAGGTTATGTTTTTGTTCTTGGGGATAACCGGAATAACAGCTTTGATTCCCATAACTGGTTAGTTCTGAAATCAAACTGTGAGATTTCTTTTCTTGCATTCATGATCTTGTTCATGGATCAACTCTACTGCTTCAAATCTGGGCATTTATAATCTCTGTTCATCTTATTATATGGGAAATATGGACTAATTTTTACTGTTCCATGCGCTTTCAGGGGGCCAGTTCCTGTGAAAAATATACTCGGAAGGTCTGTTCTACGCTACTGGCCACCTTCCAGAATATCAGGCACCATCTATGAGCCTCATTCTCTGCATGATATGGTGCTTGCCTCTTGACAAAGCAACTTCCGCCAAAGCTGATTTTTTCTTAACAAGGTGGACCACTGGACCTTCAAAGTTTTCTGCTCATTTGAATAATTTGTTAAATTGTTATTATTTTTTTTTGTACTGGGATTTTTTTGCTGCTATTAGGCTTTCCTGGTTACTTAATTATCAAGTGAACATGCTTTCTGTAAACCATTGTTTATGGGTTGTTGGTCATCTGGAATTGTAAACTTTGTTTCAGGCTTCTATTTTGGAAGCAATTAAAGGAATTGTTTTCAACTGATTAAAGTTCAATCTTTCATAATGGATTCTGAGTTGTATAGCAAAATTATACTGTGAGGTTGTTTGTGCTTCTGATTTTTTTTTTTTTTTTCTGAGATATCCTGCACCTTTTTGCTTAGTGTTTCATGCTTAGGCTTCCATTCCTGAAATGTAGATTAGTGTGGGAGTATTATGCTTTTGCTGTTCTCACACACAATAAAGAGTCTGAGACTGCCGAATGATCGTTAACTGCTTAAAGCCACTTAGGGCAGTACTTTCACTAACCTTTGGTGATAGATATAAATGAAAGGATATGGAGTTTATGTAACTATGTTAGGGGATTAAAAACATATCAAGAATGATTGGAACCACCGGCCAATCACAGACCTCTCGATGAAGATGTTATTATGTGCGGGGTCCGGATTGAAGTTGCATCCGGTTTTTATGAGCGTGCATAACAAAAGCTTAATAAAAAACGTAGTGATGAACAATAATTGTGCTTTTACTATGCACACTCACAAAAATATGAAGGTTCTTAGTTCGGACTCTGCACGTAATAATTTCTACTCTTGATGAGTGTTCGCATACTTTTAAGCTACCATAAATCATGTGCACTAAGGGCATCTCCAACAAGAAATTTCAGTTCTAACACTTAAGTATAATAACAATCACATCAAATAGTAGTAATTTATCTCCTATCAAATTTCATTTTTAACATTGAAACCAAAAACTCTATTTTTAACACCAAAAATGGGGATATTTGTGAATAGTGCAACCTCAATATTGATGTCACACATTTAATAGACAAGATAAAAAATAAAAATATGTTTCGATTTGTTATTCATTGGAACTACAAATAGGCAAATATCGCTTGGTTGGAGATGTCCTAAATAGTGAATGCCAAAGGAATCACAATACACAACTCTCCTTGGCCTATTGGTTGAGAGCTTAGGCTTCTAACTAAGAGGTCCAAGGTTCGAGTCTATGTGTATGCGTTGTGTGTGTGAGTTTGCCTTTATTGACCTAAATGTCCCATAAAAAAAAAAAAGAATCACAATTGGCTGGCCAACAAGTGCAGTTCTAATGTTGACAATATGGGCTGGTGCAATATTATACTCTTAAAGTGCCCAATGTTTTATTTAAGATAATTTTTTTTTAAATGTTTCTTAAAATAAATTTTTAATAAAAAATTTTAATTTTTATATTTAAAAAAATTAAAATTTTTTCTATACACGTGGAGTCAGCTTATTGGCACAGTACACAAACGGCTAAATAAAGCTATAATACATAGTGTCTTAATATACCCCCTCAAACTAAGCATTGGGACCAATGGTTAGTTTGGATCTCAGTAATTTGAACCGATTTGTGGTGAGCGGTTTCGTAAATATATCTGCGATCTGATCTATAGTGCTGATAGGTAGCAGTCGAATTGTTTTGCGTAGAATATGATCCCTGATGAATCTTTGATCTATTTCTATATGTTTGGTTCGAGCGTGAAAAACGGGATTATTTGCCAAAGCAATTGCAGATGTGTTATCGCAGAACATGTCTATTGGTTTAGATTGAGTGATACCGAAGTCAGCAAGAAGCTTTTTGATCCAGATAGTATCAGCTGTTGCCGAAGCCAAAGATCGAAACTCGGACTCCGTTGAAGACCGAGAGACTGTGTGTTGCTTCTTCACTGTCCAAGAGATTAATGTGTTACCAAGAAAAGTGCAAAATCCAGATGTCGATTTTCGGGTAACCGGATCAGAGGCCCAGTCGGCATCTGAGAATGTGCGGAGAGCCAAATCGGAGCGGGTGATCGGAAGGCCGAAGTCAGCAGAGCCTTTGAGATATCTGATGAGTTTCTTGAGCATAACGGTATGACAGTTCGCCGGATTATGCATATGCTGTGACAGTGCATTGACGGCATATGCAATGTCGGGTCTGGTTAAGGTTAGGTACTGAAGAGATCCAATAATAGTGCGGAATTCGGTTGAAGTGAAACAGGGAGAATCGGTGAACGCTGACTCTGCAAGTTTTGTGGTAGAGGGATTAGAGACCGAGTTGCAGCGTTGCATCTCGGCCATTTGTATAATAGAATTGGTGTAATGAGATTGAGAGAGAAAAAACTTATCGGGAGAAGATTCGATCTTGATGCCGAGGAAATGGCTTGCCTTGCCCAGATTTTTCATAGTAAACCGGGAGCTGAGCTGAGCTATTAGAGCATTAGTTGCTGCGTTATTATTGCCTGTGATGAGTATATCATCGACATAGACAAGAAGATATATCTTGGTGGTGCCTCGATCAAGAATTAATAGGGACGGATCAGCCTGGCTGTGGTAGAATCCGAGTTGTAGCAGATGTGTTGTAAAAGTTGTGTACCATTGCCGGGGAGCTTGTCGAAGTCCATATATAGCTTTTCGAAGACGACAGACGTGCGTGGGATTGCAAGCGTCTTCGAAACCTTTTGGTTGTGACATGTATATGATCTCGTTGATGTTACCGTGTAAAAACGCGTTTGCAACATCTAATTGTTGGATATCCCATCTATGATGTAGAGCAATGGTGAACAATATTCGTATCGTGGGAAGCTTAGCAACGGGACTGAAAGTTTCGTGGAAATCAAGCCCGAACTCCTGTTGGTTTCCAAGTGCCACGAGCCGAGCTTTATATCGAGCAATCGATCCGTCCGAATTGTATTTGATACGGAAAGTCCACTTGGAGCCTAGAATGGATCCGTTTGGCGGTGGAGGGACGAGATCCCATGTGCCTTGTTGTTGTAGTGCATAGAACTCGTCAGCCATGGCTTTTCTCCATTCACGGTGTTTAATTGCTGTAGTATAGGAAGGGGAGTCATTGATCGAGGACACTTGATGTAGAAGATTAAGTTTGGTAACAGGTTTTAGCGATCCCGTTTGTCTGCGAGTGATCATAGGATGCTGTTTTTGTATAGGGAAAGACCGTGGGCTTGTTGAAACTGCAGAGATGTGGTCTGGTTGTGTATCCACAGTATCGTTATTAGAGCTTAGTTGTTCATTGATACCGTTGGAGCGGATTTGTGCATTGCGATGAGTGGACAGAACCGTCGATGGAATTAGAAGAGATGGTGGGAGAGTGTTGGGAGTTGCTGAATTAGAACAAGACCTGTGAGCAAACGGAAAACAAGTTTCGTTAAACCTTACATGTCTTGACATAATAATTTTGTTAGTGGACATATTAAGACATTTGTATCCTTTAATGGAATCCGAGTAACCAATAAAGACACACGGCGGAGACGTAGGAGTGAGCTTGGTTCGCTGCGGCGGAGGAAGAAGCGGATAGCATTCGCAACCGAACGTGCGAAGGTGATTATATGATGGTTTAATGTTAAACATTCTTTGCAGAGGTGATAACTGGTCCGTCGTAGAAGAAGGCAGACGATTTATAAGATAGACTGAGGTTGTGACGGCTTCAAGCCAGTAATTGAGCGGAAGAGACGCCTGGTGAAGAAGCGTGCGGGCAGTTGCAATGAGGTGCCGATGCTTTCTTTCCGCAATACCGTTTTGCTCCGGAGTGTAAGGACACGAGGTCTGATGGTGAATTCCTGCAGCTTGAGTAAATTGGTGAAATTGTCTGTTGAGGAATTCGCCACCGCCGTCCGTGCGAATGGTTTTAAGCTTGCGATTAGTTTGGCGTTCAACAGAGGAAACAAAGTTAATAAATGTCGCAGTAACGTCAGATTTAAATTGTAAGGGAAATAACCAAACAAATCTGGAGTAATCATCTACGAAAATTAAGTAGTAACGTATGCCTTGATGAGAGGGAACATGTGAAGGTCCCCAAACATCAGAGTGAACTAAGTCTAGAGGTGCTTTAGAAGAGCTAATAGATCGTTCAAAGGGAATTTTATGCCCTTTACAAGTCATACAGGCAGTACATAAAGTTGCCGAAGATCTAATGTGTAGAGAAGAGTTGGTTTTTGCAATTTGGAGAAGAACACGGGCGTGAGGATGACCGAGCCTGCTGTGCCAGTTAATGACGGTTCCTGTCGTAATTAAGCTGGTCGGAGAAGACTTCTTGGTGGCTGGAATGCGGTACAACCCTTCTTCACAGGGTCCTTGAAGAATAGGTCGATTTGTCCTCAGATCCTTAAATGTAAACCCGTTAGCATCAAAAATTATAGAAATGGGATTATCTTTAACTAAATTTGAAATAGAAAGCAAATTGTATGACAGTGAAGGTATATGGAGAATGCGAGAGAGAAGGAGGTTACTAGCTGGGGTGGGAAGAATGCCGTTTCCTGTATGTGAAATAGGAACGGTTCTACCATCCCCAATAGTGACACGATCCGAGCCATTGTATACGTAGGAAGTGTCAAGATTGTCGTTCTTGTTGGTCATGTGAGAGGAGGCGCCCGAGTCAATGAACCAGTCATCTACGGTAAGGTTGTCGTTGGATGCAAGAAGAGCATTGGGCTTCTTGGAGACGGGCTGATTTGGTACGTAGTTCATGTTGAGTCGATGCCAGCATGAATCAGCCTGGTGTCCTTTCTTTTTGCAAATCTGGCATTGTATAGACGACGATGGATTTGAATTATGCGTAGTAGTGTTGTCTCTGATCGGACGACTTCGCCCGCGCCTACCCCGACTATTGGACGAGTAGAGTGCAACCTGCGGATCGGGCGGTTTTGGAAATCTTGCCGCAACAGATTTTAGATGAAGCTCTTCACTTATAAGCATAGCGTACAAATCATCAAGAGATATAGAACCAGGCCTGGTTCTTATAGAAGTCGTGAAAGATTGATATTCTAACGGAAGACCGTTAAGAATGTATATGAGAATATCTTCGGGATCTACAGATGATCCAGCTGCTGAGATTTGATCAACTATCTTCTTGATCTCAGTGAGATATTGAGACATGGATAGCGATTGCATTGAAAGATTGTGAAGCTCATTTTTAAGTTGTATAACCTTTGAGCGATTTGATGATTGAAACCGCGTATTAAGAGTAGACCAGATCTCGTAAGTAGATTCAAGATGAATGACATACGGCAGGACCTCCGGAGAAATAGTGGAG